CTCTTACATATATATATATATATAAAGTGTAGCATACTCTGGTATAATACAGTATAGTCTCATGTTGAACAGCATATTGAAATACAGCGCCCCGACACGGCCCTGCCAACTCCTGAAGGCGGATTGCTGCTTTGCGAGATTCATGGTATGCTGACTTTCGCTTCACATCACAAGGAAAGGTTTAGGGTTTAGGGTTTAGGGTTTAGGGTTTAGGGTTTAGGGTTTAGGGTTTAGGGTTTAGGGTCTCATCCAGCACGACAACAAGGACTTCCACTGTGTCGCTATTGAGTCGCTCTCACCGCCGGCCCCAACTTTTCAGCCAGAACTCTCCTCAACCAGCAATCCTTAACCTGCCTTGTGCAAGGTGACAGAGCAGTAGAAGGTCGCCCTGCAGCACCACCTGAAGCCAAAGGGTTTAAGGTTTAGGGTTTAGGGTTTAGGGTTTAGGGTTTAGGGTTTAAGCCAAAGTTGAAAGCAACAAACGCCATCTCCGGACATGCTGCTTCGGTCTGGTCGATGGTCCATCCGAAACCCTGAACCCAAGAGCCCATGGGCTCATCGCTGAGGGAGCAACTATAGAAGAGCACCTATCGATCTGCAAAGTCGCACACACCTTCCCATGATCCAAAAGCCGCGCGCGCCTATACAGAGGTTGCTAAGCATGAAATTCAGAGCCGACGGTGCAGCTCACCGCTTCAATCTGAGGCTACAAACGCGGCGCTCGGGCCGCATGAAGCAGAAGCACCCTGACAGAGTGGGGGCTTGAGGCTCAGTGTTTGTGGGCATGTTGCGATATAACCAGTTGGTGACATGTAACAGTTTTTGATTTATTACAAGCACACGAAGCCTTATCTACCAATGACAGCACACGCTAAGCAGTGTATGTGCATCATATCTATATATACACGCGTACATACACACACACACACACGTGTACACATATACATATCAACAGGCACGAAGCTGCAGGCAAGAAGCAACAAACTCTGGCGGCGCAACGTGCTTTACAACACAGCATGTACAAGCATTTCGAAGCGACATCTTGCGCAGCATAGGATAGGAAGCGTCACATTCAAAAGCAATCGTGGCCGAAATATCGTCAATTTATCTATGTATGCTCATTGTACTTGCGGCAACTTCGCTATTGTATACCGCGATAGAAATACATACGTTAGGGCCGGTCCAGCGACTGGCAGTAGAATGTGCCTTGCCACGGCAGCCACCCGCCAACGCGCACCTGGCATTCAAAGTAGAAGCCACCTTGGATTACAAGCCTCTACAGCGGAGAACCTGAGCTGTTTGAACTCTTATTACGTGAAGCCATCGTGGAAATCTGAGGCATCCCTTCCGACTACAAGCGGTCTTCTGTCTGACATTATGCTGTCTTCTTTTTTTCTATCTCCGGCCGAGGCTGAGACAAGACTCTAACCTTTGACATTTGCCAAGGATTTCTTGGAAAGGATCGAGTACGATGAGAAACATGTTTCGTAGAAAAGGAGCAGCCGAAACCAACGCCGCTCCGCACGAAAAACGACATCGCACCATCTGGCTTCAGACACTCCTTCAATCGTGGCACAGCAGCATTGAAAGAAAAGCACATCACATACAGGCCCCAACACCGCAGACCCTTGCATGTTGCTTGTTGCCGCGAGGCACGATCGCGGTCTCCACATCGATAGTCATCTTGCAAAGCCGCAAACCACCTCGCTACAATGAGCCAACATGGAAGTAGGATGGTGAACAGCAAAAAAGGTTCATGCCGCAACCCGATAACCGAACAGTTCAGGGTTCTAAACCTTTAAACCCTAAGCTAAACCCAAAACCCGATAATGATCCAGGGCTGAAAGAATCACGACATCGAAGGATGTGACGCCTGTCAGCAAGCCGCGCACTCACCCTGAGCTCGGCCATCGAGGTACAGGAAACATGCTGTACGGCTGTCGAATTATGTCTGATTTTTGTAAGGGTTCAATCATGCCCCTGACTTGGATGCTCCATCGACAAGGGATGCTCGAAATCATTGTGAGAATTTTTCACTCATCTATTGGACTGCTTGCTCTCGTTCTCTTCATGGCCTGCGATGGTTGTCTCTGAAGCAGTGTCTGTCGGGCTCACCATGCGCACAGATTGAAAAATGGAGGTTGCACCGCTGTATCCAATACCCAGTCCGATGCTACTAACACTTCTGAATCAAGACTAAGACTTGTACAAAAACGTAATCCAGGAGACTAGGCTAACTGACCATCAAGGGGTGCTTGTAGAATTTCCGCGACCGCGCACCCCTGCGGGTGCACCGCAAGCCCTGCTTCAAAGAACCAGTTTGCCCTTCTCCAGGAGCTTTCGCATCTTCATGGATGCTCCGAACATCTCTAAACCCCAAAACCGTGACAGCTCCATCCCAGCTTGAGGTTTCTCAGGCCATGCGCTTTTTTGCAAATTTGCCGCAAGTCTTGATCCCTATTCCAAGCTGGCAGTTAGAGGTCAATTCTGGGGACTTATATGGGAGTTTCCGAAAATAGGGACCCTAATATGGTACCCTAAATTGTAGGTCCTTGTTATAAGGACCCCAAAATAAGGTACCCTAATTTTCGAAAACTCCCATATAGTTCCTCACACGTCGAGCCCTCTCTCTTATATCCATGTTTCA